TGTGGGGCCAGCGCCAGGAGGCTGCATTCCAGGCAGTCAAGGACTTGCTCGTCTCAAACTTGGTCTTGGCACACTTCGACGAGAGGCTGCCAGTGGTGCTAGCATGCGACGCCTCGCCCTATGGCATCGGCGCTGTCCTGGGACACCAACTCCCAGATGGAAGAGAGGTCTGGTGGCATACTTTCCCCAGACACTCGACGCAACTGAGCGGAACTACTCGCAAATCGACAAGGAGGGTCTGGCAATCGTGAAGGGAGTAAAAAAATTCCATGATTTCTTGTACGGGCGGCCCTTTACCATGGTTTTTGCCCCCCAAAAGCAAAGCCCCCTAAGTTCTGTCTCCTCGCATCCTCAGGTGGTCAATTTTCCTTGCTGGCTACCAGTATGCACTGATTCACCGCCCTGGGAAGGCGATGGGCCACACGGACGCCCTCAGCAGGCTACCACTACCGGAAACAGGCCCCGACCCAGCGCCTGCGCAAGAGGTTATGAGCCTGGAGCTGCTTCCCGACCGCCCCATTCAGGCACAAGAAGTTGCGCACCATTCCAAGAAAGATAGTGTCATCTCCCGGGTCCTGGACTGGGTGTGGAGGAGGTGGCCCAGCAGCAGCCCCGGACCAGAATTCGCCGGCTACACAACCCGCAAACATGAACTGTCGGCCCACAAGGGGTGCCTGTTATGGGGAAGCAGGGTTGTTGTTCCCCAGCCCCTCCACAAAAGGGTCCTCACAGCCCTACACGAGACACACCCAGGGGTAGTGAGAATGAAGGCCCTTGCCAGGAGTTATGTGTGGTGGCCGGGGATCGACGGAGAGATAGAGGCCTGGGTCAAACACTGCCAGGCCTACCAAGAATCCCGCCCAGATCCCCCAAGGGCCCCAATCTAGTCCCGGGAGTCCTCCCGAGCACCATGGTCACGCCTGCACGTGGACTTTGCTGGCCCCTTTCAGGAGAAAACGTTCTTCCTAGTGATGGATTCCTACATCAAATGGCTGGAAGTCGCACTGGTACCGTCCACTTCTACGTCCGCAGCCATCCGGGTACTACGCAGGCTGTTTGCAACCCTGACACTCTCATCTCAGACAACGGAACCGCATTTACGTCAGGAGAATTCCAGACCTTCACAGCGCAGAATGCCGTCCGCCACATCTGCTGGGCGCCCTTCCACCCTGCCACCAATGGCCAAGCAGAACGCATGGTGCAGACCACCAAGGACACCCTCCGCTGCATGACGCAAGGGGATTGGGAGTACCGCCTTGCCACATTCCTTCTAGCACAGCACAGCACCCCCAGCTCAACGACTGGCCGGAGCCCTGCTGAACTACTGATGGGCCGGCGCCTTGCAATCAGATTGGACCACCTTCACCCCGATAGAGCTCAGGATGAGGTAGTGAAGGGGGGAGGCAGGAACCCCCAGACCTTCATGGCTCAGGACCCAGTGTATGCAAAGAATTTTGGGGCAGGCCCGGCATGGGTACCCGCCACAGTCACCAGGGTCACTGGCCCCGTGTCGTACGAGGTGCTAACAGATGGGGGGCAATGCTGGCGCCGCCACTGCGACCAGATACGGCAACGATTCCCGGGAGAAAACCAGGAGGAGGACAGGTCAGAGGAGTCCCAAGGGAACAGTGGGGCAGTGAGGCCCATAGAGCAGGAGGGGCCAGCAGGAGAGGCAGAACCAGTAAATACAGAGAGGACCCGCGAGGCCGAAAGGACACCGGAACCAGAGCCACGACTGAGCGAGCCGGTTGCGCCAGACCAAATGGCCCCATCACAGCCAGCATCCTTGGAACACGAGCCAGAACCTGAACCCTGGACCAGGGAACACCCCAGGCCACAACGCACACGTAGGCCGCCGGCGTACCTTGAGGACTATGAATGCAACCTCCCGGGCAGGACTGGAACTTAGAGGGGAGGGGTGTTATGTACTGAGTTGAATAGGATCCAAAAGGCAGCAGTGAGGCGTTCACAAAGTAAAGGAAGGATTGAACTCTGATTAATAAGAATACACACAGAGGCTTGAACCAGGAAGACTCTGGGAAGGGTGCATATAATCGTGTCTCTCTGTGCTTGTCCGTGTGCAGCCCCTGGCCCAGGTAGTTTTACTCACAAAAGAACTTTTTACAGAGTGTTCGTAAGAACCAATCAGATTTCTTCTGAGCATTTCAACAAACCCACGTGGGGACAAGTTAAACCACCAAAACTAATTAACAGAACTACAAAGGAGTCCATTTGGCAACCCCCGGAGGTGATAAACAAGCAATACACATGATAAGGAGGATGGCCAGGAGGACAGCAATCATTATCACCTTCATGTGAGATCTGTTTCCTGGCCCTAAGATTAACATCCTAAGATTACCATATCAGAAAGCTACATCAAAGAAGCTTGCCCACTACCTTTGATGACCCAGGACACCTGCCTGTCTAAGCAACTGTGCTGTGTACGTGACTTGTAAAGAGAGAGAGATGGAACAGGGACGCAGAGGTGTAGATTGATCAAGAATCATATCAAAATAGTTTAAACCCAGTCAATGCAATGCTTTCATTGCTGACACAGATGGCTTACTCTATATTTGTTATAATTCCTCATAGCAATCCCACCTGATCACTACACAGCAGTCTGACTGGTCCTAGAACAATGCAGCAGTATGATTGGTCTGCAGGAGCCACCTAATCCAGCTCCAGGTGGAAGTGAATCCGCAACCTGATTGGCCTACAGGAGAGCCCTGCCGGCAAGGAGATGCAAGAATTAGTCAGTGACAATTAAGGCTTAAATATATGTTCAGCTGGCACACCTTTAACCTTTTACAGTAGCAGGTTGGTGATAATTGACCTAGAAGCCACTGAAGGACACTTTGCTCAGAGGCACTTTATTCAAAGCATTTCCTTCAGCACTTTTATTGCCCATATTGATGAGGGCTAATCTCCTACCCATCCCAAATAAGGTAGTGCACTGTAATGGTTAGAGTCTTGTACTATCACCTGAGAGACCAAGGTTTGAATCCCCCTGCTCCGCCATGCAGCTCACTTGGGGACCTTGGGCCAGTCACTGCCTCTCAGTCTAACCTGCCTCACAGGGTTGTTGTGGAGATGAACTGAGGAGTGTTGGGTAATATACATTACCTTGAGCTCCTTGGAGGAAAAAGTGGTACAAACATGCAGTAAGTAAGTAAGTGAATGAATGAATGAATTGCCACTGCTATTCACCCATTCCTTTGTCATGCAGATTGCTGGCTGATGACTGAGAGGATGGGGAAAAGTCTCCACAAATGTCTCTTTTGCAAGGGGGAGGGGGTGGTACTGATCTTACCTGGGAGAGGCGTGCTCCAAAACACAGCAGCTGAGTTTCCTTCACAGGTTGGCATTCTCCCGAGAAGCACACTAGCGTTTGCCATACCGGCTGAAAACCGTACTGCAAGGGGTGAGTATCCTAAGTTGTGCTTCTGTGCGTTTATTTGCAGAAGTCAGCATCCAAGTTCCACACTGGGGCAAGGCAATCTGAGCACGTGACACCAATTCTGGCCCAACCTACCAGTTAGTTTCCAGGGCCCAATTCAAAGGGCTGGGCTTGACCTGTAGGACCAGCTCAGGACTACAATACCTCAAGGGCTGCCTCTCCCCATATGAGCTGACCCAGACCTTGGGATGGACACCTGAGGCCTTTCTCCAGGTGCCACCTCCACGGGAGCTCTGGAGGGTGGCAACAGGAGAACAGGGCCTTTTTGGTGGTGGCTCCCTGTTGGTGGAATGCTCTTCCTGGGGGAGCTCACCTGGTGCCTTCATTTCATATCTTTGGTGCCGGACAAAAACACTATCTATGAACATTTAGAATGGGTGGGATGTTTTAATGTATCCCTCACTCTCAGTTTTTATGTACGTAGGTAGGTATTTTTTTCTGGTAAATCACTTCAAATTGCTATGGCAAAAAAATGACTATTGTATTTAAATTTTTATATATAATATTTTGGCCTGGAATCCCCATTGCCTATGCACTGCAGGAAAGTCAGATGTTCCTTTTGCCACAAATAATAGACGCATAGTTGTCAATCTGTAAGGGACCCAAAGGGTCACCTACTCTGGCTCCCTGCAATGCCAGCTGCAGGACAGGGCAGAGGAGAAACATCCTCCCTGAGCTGGATAGTGCCATCAATGAGGGGCAAAACCAAGTCCGGGTTCAAGGCAGTCACCTGCCATTTAATCTCCCACGAATGCTGAGGTACCCTTCGGGTGTTTTGGGGACTGCAGCTTCCATCAGCCCCAGCCAGCATGGCCCCAGGGCATTGTGGGGGATTTAAATGCAGCTTCCCAGACCCAGTCACCTGAGTGTAGCAGACCACAGGTTGCCCTCAGTGGGGTTCCCCTCCAGGATTCTGGCATGGGTGCTGGGTGCAGACTTCAGCCCCACTAAACAAGGAGGGTACAGCATTGTAAACTGGAGATGAGCAAGTGGAGCATTTTACTCTGTCCCCCTCAAGGAGTTGGTGGGCTTCATGCCTCTCCCCCCTCATAGGCCATCTTGTATGCCATGTAAAACTCACTTCCAGGTTATTTCTCAGGGGCTACCAAAGCCCGCTTTGGTTTGTTTTTAACTGTGAGAAGTCCATTTCCATCCAAGTGGGTCCTTATATTACATTAAGAATTTGGAGTTTGAGTTTTCATCATCCCTTCTCACCCTTTTTTCCTTTTGTGTCACATACATCCGAGGGCAGGGGCTGTATTGTTTTTTTTCCCCCTTGATTTGTTGGCCACTCTGGAAGTGTTTTCAGCTGAACAGCAGGGTAAAAGCACTTTGGATAAAATGAATGATAAAATGATGCCAGCCAAGGGACTTCTTGGCAGAGGAAGTTGAACTCACTTCCATCCCAGAATCATAGAATCAGAAGGGACCTGGAGGGTCATTTAGTCCAACCCCTTGCAATGCAGGAATCACAGCAGCTACTTTATCTTTCCCTCCATGTGGTTCCCCTACAGATCCTGGCTCCGTCCCCCTGATCATAGAGATGCTGGGAGACATGTATGAATATGTGCCCATCCTCCAGGACTGGTGGCATGCAGACGGGTACTGCCAGCAGCGCTTCGCTCGGTTGCCATCTGAGCTGGCATCTCTTGGGGAAAAGCTGCAGTCCTACCAAGTCCAGAGCGCAGTCTGGATGGATGACCAGGAGGTGTTCCTGCAGAAGCCGAAGCAGAGGCGTGAGTAGAGATATGCTGCACTATTGAACCTAAGATAAGCCTGCTAGATCAGGTCAATGGCCCACCTGATCCAGCAACCGGCTCTCACAGTACCATGTGCACCTAGACGCCTGTGGGAAACCAGGGAGCAGAACATGAGACCAGAGCCCTCTCGCTCCCCCCCTGTGGTTTCCAGGAACTGGTATTCAGAAGCATGGCTGCCCCCAAGTGTGGAGGGCAGAGCACAGCCATACTGGCTAGTAGCCATTGACAGCCCTCTCCTCCTCTTCCTCCTCTTCCTCCTCCTTCTCCTCCTCCTCCTCCTCCTTCTCCTCCTCCTCCGTCTCCTCCTCCTCCTCCTCCTCCTCCAGGAATTGGTCCAATCCTCTTTTAAAGGCATCCATGTTGGTGGCCATCAGAGTTCCATAGCTTAATTATCCACACTGCAAGAAGAAGGGCTTTCCTTTTATCTGTCCTGAATATTCCACCATTCAGCTTCACTGGATGACCACAAGTTCCATAAAATTTTCTCTCTCACTTTCTGGCCATGCATAATTTTTATAAAAATCCTATCATGTAACCCTTCCTTGCTTTTTCTCTAAAACTAAAAAGTCCCAAATATGGCAACCTTTATTCATACAGAAATCACTCCATCCCATAGAACACCTGGGTTGCCCTTTTCTGAACTTTTTCCAACTCTACAACGTGCTTTTTGATGTGAGGCAACCAGAACTGTTTTAAATGTTGGGTCCTTGGTCACATCCCCATCTCTCTCCCCCACCCCCAGGAAACATCTCCGCACCAATTCTGGTCTTCAAGAACAAAACAGACACAAAGTTTGTGAAGGTCTTAGCCGACTTCCCAGAGATGCCCACTGTGAGTGCCTGCGCCCACGTCCAGTGGGACCCTGAGGCTGTGGAGATCTCCACTGTCTTCTCCTATGCGGTCCCGTCTTTGATCAATGAGTTCAAGTTGCATGGCTTCATCGACGAGGATGGCTTCATCAGGTTTGCCATCATCCTCCATGGGCACCACTCCCCGTGCCTGCCAGTTTTTCGTGCCGATGGGCAGTGGCACCACTTCTGTGTCACATGGCAGCATCAGAATCGGGCATGGGCCATCCATGCTGACGGGAAGGAGAAGGCCTCAGCCACAGGGCTTTCAGCCTCCCATGCCGTGGATGGCCACGGGACGTTCATTATCAGGCAAGATCAGGACTCCCTGGGTGGGGCCTTCAAAGAGAAAGAGTCCTTCAGTGGGAACCTCACTGGTTTGCATGTTTGGGAGAGGGTCCTCAGCAGGGAGCAGATGGAGAAAGTGCGTTCCTGCATCCCTATTCAAGAGAGCCTCGTGTTTGCCTGGAGCAGCGACATCCTTGAGGTGGAAGCGAGCATCCAGTAGGCCACAGTGTAGCTAACCTGCCCAGGTAAAGCACTCTCGGGTTGTGACTGCACCAGCTGTCTGAATCTGGTCTGTGATGAGCTGGTTGATTTGCATGTCCCTGTTTTCAGTTGGTGTGGACTGGTTATATGCCTATATTGGATGGGGGCAGGGGAGGAAGCTGCCCCAGGACAGGGGTGGGGATCCCTGTGGCCTGCAGACCATGGCCAGTGATGATGGGAGTTGTAGTCCCAACTGAAGGGCCACAGGTTCTCCTTCCTTGTTTAGAAGGCATCTTGGGCTGGAAAGGCTTTGAACTCTCTTGGGTCTCCATTGCAAAATGGGCTTGTTGAGATAGGTATGTAGATACCTGCCGGGGTCTTCTTTCTCCAAGGGTTGAAGATGTCCATGGCGATCAGGTTGTGTGACTCAGCTACCTGCAAGTACACAAATGGCAGAGTGTATTTCGAATAAACTGTGTGGAGCAGGACCAGATGGCAGGGAGGGTCGATGGCTGCGACCTGACTCCTGACGACTGAGTCAACGCCACTTACCTGGAGGCAGTGGGGGAGGGGTGGGGCGGCAGCAAGATGGGGCAAATGCATCAACAGGAAAGCTGGGTGGAAGTAAGATGCTTTATAAGGACCTAGTAGCAGTGAGTGCCTGGCACTGCCTGGGAGTTTTTAGGGAATAAAAAATTGCAATTTTAAAATTAAAAATAGCGTGATTTGTGATTTTGGACCCATGACACCAAAATTGGGTAAGCTCATGCCAAAGTTGCGTTTTGGTCTGACGTCTTGATTCAAAACAGCACCTAGAATCCAAGAGTCTACCAACTCCACCCTCAGGGAACCCCCTGCCGAATTTGGTGATGATGCTTCGAGGGGTGTCCCAAACTATAGAAAACAAACAAACAAACAAACAATTTCCCAAAACATCTAGTAGATGGAGGGTGTTGTTCTTGTTCTCTCCCAGGGCCTGTGGAGGAATGCCATATGTTTCAGGTCATCCAGGGAAGCCTTGCTTATGCCCCCTGCCTGCAGCTGCTGCCTTTTGTCTGCTACTACAAAAAAGGTATGGCAGTTCTGACTGTCCTTATCTGTCCAGACTCAAACTGTGGCAACTGTCATTTTAAGCCCAAGGTCCCCATTCCTTTGTGCCAGCAATCGGTGGGTCAGAGGGAAGTGGGTGGAGCAACAGGTGTGACTCTTATTTTGTTCGGTATGGTCCCATCTGCACAGTACATTAAAATAATAATAATAATAATAATAATAATAATAATAATAATAATAATTTATTATTTATACCCCGCCCATCTGGCTGGGCTTCCCCGGCCACTCTGGGCGGCTTCCAAAAGAATATTAAAATACTATAATACATCAAACATTAAAAGCTTCCTGAAACAGGGCTGCCTTCAGATGTCTTCTAAAAGCCTGGTAGTTGTTGTTCTCTTTGACATCTGGTGGGAGGGTGTTCCACAGGGAAGGCGCCACTACCGAGAAGGCCCTCTGCCTGGTTCCCTGTAACTTGGCTTCTCGCAGTGAGGGAACCGCCAGAAGGCCCTCGGTGCTGGACCTCAGTGTCCGGGTAGAACGATGGGGGTGGAGACGCTCCTTCAGATATACTGGACCAAGGCCGTTTAGGGCTTTAAAGGTCAGCACCAACACTTTGAATTGTGCTCGGAAACGTACTGGGAGCCAATGTAGGTCTTTCAAGACCGATGTTATGTGGTCTCTGCAGCCGCTCCCAGTCACCAGTCTAGCTGCCGCGTTCTGGATTAGTTGTAGTTTCCGGGTCACCTTCAAAGGTAGCCCCACGTAGAGCGCATTGCAGTAATCCAAGCGGGAGATAACCAGAGCATGCACCACTCTGGAGAGGCAGTCCGCAGGCAGATAGGGTCTCAGCCTGCGTACCAGATGGAGCTGGTAAACAGCTGCCCTGGACACAGATTTGACCTGTGCCTCCATGGACAGCTGTGAGTCCAAAATGACTCCCAGGCTGCGCACCTGGTCCTTCAGGGGCACAGTTACCCCATTCAGGACCAGGGAATCCTCCACACCTGCCCGCCTCCTGTCCCCCAAAAACAGTACTTCTGTCTTGTCAGGATTCAACCTCAATCTGTTAGCCACCATCCAACCTCCAACCGCCTCCAGGCACTCACACAGGACCTTCACTGCCTTCACTGGTTCTGATTTGAAAGAGAGGTAGAGCTGGGTATCATCCGCATACTGATGAATACCCAGCCCAAATCCCCTGATGATCTCTCCCAGGGGCTTCATGTAGATGTTGAAAAGCATGGGGGAGAGGACAGAACCCTGAGGCACCCTACAAGTGAGGGCCCAGGGGTCTGAACACTCATCCCCCACACCACTTTCTGAACACGGCCCAGGAGGAAGGATAACAGTGCCCCCAGCTCCCAGCCCCTCAAGACGGTCCAGAAGGATGTTATGGTCGATGGTCTCAAACGCCGCAGAGAGATCCAGCAGAACTAGGAAACAGCTCTCACCTTTGTCCCTAGCCCGCCGGAGATCATCAACCAGTGCGACCAAGGCAGTTTCAGTCCCATGATGAGGCCTGAATCCCTACTGGAAGGGATCCAAATGGTCCGCTTCTTCCAGGCGTGCCTGGAGTTGTTCAGCAACCACTCGCTCAATCACCTTGCCCAAGAATGGAAGATTTGAGACTGCGCGATAGTTGGCTATCGTGGCCGGGTCTAAAGATGGTTTTTTAAGAAGCGGTTTAATAACCGCCTCTTTCAGCGGGTCTGGGAAGGCTCCCTCACGGAGGGAAGCATTCACCACCCCACGAAGCCCATCGCCCAGTCCTTCCCGGCTAGCTTTTATAAGCCAGGATGGGCAAGGATCAAGGAGGCAAGTGGTTGGTTTCACTCGTCCAAGCAGCCTGTCCACATCCTCGGGGGGTAACAGATTGAAAATGATCCCACACAACTTGACTAGACAGGACTCTAGCACTCTCCCGCCCCGGCCCTGCTCCCACGGTGGAGTCTACCTCTTCTCGAATCTGAGCGACTTTATCTGCAAAAAAACTTTGCAAAGTCATTGCAGGAGATCATGTGGCCCCTACTGGGCCCTGATGGAGCAGGTGGTTCCGCTAAATTGCGAACCACCTGAAAGAGTCTCCTGCTGCTGTTTTCCGCAGATGCAATAGAGGCGGTGAAGAAAGTCTTCTTCGCCGTCGCTATCGCCACTTGGTAGGCTCGACATTGAGCTCTAGCCCGTGTCCGGTCAGATTCAGAATGGGTTATCCGCCACCGGCGCTCTAGCCGTCTCAACGATTGTTTCATTGCCCTCAGATCCATGGAAAACCATGGGGCTGTCCGGGCTCCATGCAATCGGAGAGGGCACTTCGGAGCCAAACAGTCAATAGCCCTGGTTAACTCCACATTCCAGCGGGCCACCAGGGAATCAGCTGAAAGGCCATCAACATGGGATAAAACATCCCCTACCACTCTCTGGAAACAATTTGGATCCATTAAGTGGCGGGGGCGGACCATCTGAATCGGCACTCCCTCCCCCCAAAAAAAGAATAATGGGAACTGTAGTCCACTGAGAGTTCTGAGAGTTGTTAAGAGACCCCTATTCCTCTCACAAAGCTACAATTACCAGAGTGGTTCACCCCCTCTTCCCGTTAATTAAAACACAAGCTACTTTTTATTAATGGGAATGTTTATTTGATAATTATAATAGAATATTTATTTATTTAAATGCTCATAGTCCTCAATCTCATGCCAAAGTGCCACAAGGCTGGGAGCGAGGGATCAGATTCCACTTCCTCTGGAAGAGAGTTCCAAGGTTTCGGAGCCAGCACTGGAAAGGCCCTGTCATGCCTTGTTCAGCAAGGAAACTGTGCCTCTGAAGCAGGTCTTCATCACTGGGTTGGTTTCCAGGGGAGAAGGGTACTTCTGGTATCCCCAGTTGTTGGATCAGCCTGGATTTGTAATCAGAGTGTCAGACTGGGGCCTAGAGAGACACCGGTTCAACTCCCCCCCTTGACCACAAAGTGCTCTGGGTGACTTTGGGCCAGTTGCTCTCTTTTCACCTTGTCTACCTTGCAGGGCTGTGGAAATTAATTATTATTATTATTATTATTATTATTATTAAAATTTATATGCCATCCTGCACCTGAAGATCACAGGGCAGTTTACAACATGAAAATACAACATAAAAACACAAATTACATAGCATAATAGCAAAACAACAACACCCCTCCCCCACTATCACACTTAAAAGGCCGTAGATGGCTTAATCAGCCAAAGCCCTAGTTGAAGAGGAATGTTTTTGCCTGGCTCCATGAAATGGGCAAGGTACTAACTTTGTAAACCACCTTCCACAAGCTTCCATTTGCATGTCTGTTGTTTTCCCCTCAGATCTTTATTTGCAGTTGAAGAAAACACAGTCAAAACCTGTCCCACAGCTCATAGCTCAGGTTAACGCATGAGCGAATGCGACAGTGGTGAGTCTAAAGCACTGGCTTCAACCCAGACTCCTGAGGGCTTCCACCTGTGGTCCAGCATCACTGTGTTGCTGGCCAGGCCTCCTGGAGCCTTTTCTCAGTGCCCCTAAGTGTTTCCTGGGTGAGTCTGTGGGGAAATTGATTTCTGGGAGAATTTGGGGTGGTACAGGTTGCAGGGGGTTGGACTTGAAAATCCATGGGGTCCCTTCCAGCTTCACAGTTCTATAATTTCTGTAAGAAGCTGCCAGACCCCAGAGCCATCTAGCTGAGCAGGATGATTTCTGGCAGGGGCCATTCGTAGCTCTACCTGGAGCTGCCGATGCGGAGTGGGATTGAATCTGCAACCTTCCTCACTCAATGCCAGTGCTCTTCCACTGAGCCACAGCTCTGGGAACACGTGACAAGTGTCTTGTCTCAGGAGACCCATGGTTGTCAAAGCTTCTTAAAGTCTGGTTGTGGGGCACAGACATCTATTGGCACATCTTCTCATCTCAGCTCTCCACATTGCCCCTCTGTCCCCCTCCCCGGATTTATGGCTTCCCTAAACA